TTTATGCCCAGCTATAGTCATTACAAAAGGACATACACACACGCATATATAGACACATATATATCTATACACATAGACATATGCGGGGTCCTCAGTCTTGGCAAAGACAATGCACGCCTGTCGAACCAATAAGTGCAGCGGGTTCTTGGTTTTAGTCTGCGTCCATGCATTGTTGTGAGTGCGTCATAAAATTACTTTTTATCATTGTAACATGACAGGCGGAGCCCCACGTCCTGGATCCAGCGTACTGACGCAGCTCGCGCTGATGTATGTCGTACTTTTTATGAGCCAGCCAATGCCAAAGACATTCATACACGTTTTCTTTATGTTGCAGCTAAAAGGATGCTATAGCTTCCTGCTCCTCTTCCTGCTACTGGCCCTGGACCGGGTTGTGCTGCTTCCTCTCCTGCTACTCCTCCTACTATCGCAGCGCCCGCTGTACTGCATTGTATTAATGGATCGTATGCACGAGAGCCCAGCGCTAATAAGCATAAACGCAAACTTGCCATGTGACTCGATTGCAGCTTCCTTCCGCTTCGGTCTTCCAGCCTTTCATTCTGTGTATGCGTGCGCTACATCCTGGACATGCGCGTGCCCATGGCGTGCGCTCCGCACTTTGACTCTGTGCTTTGTGCACTTTATTAATGTTATTAAAAATCTAACAAATGGCACAACTTGGCCGCAGCTATAGCCCCATTGTCCCGGCCAACTCTCCTTCAGCTGGCTGTATGTAGCGCTTTATTAATGCCCACAACAAACACACACACACACACACAAACGCACAAGTGCCAATTAATGTGACTGGTCAGTGTTGCAACTTTGTTGTCTCATTGGCAATTGACAGGGTGGCCCCCACTTGCCTCTAAGCCGCAGGCCAAGCTTATGTAGCACAACAGGTCGTATGCGTAATAAAACCGTTCTTTGGCCGTTACAAACATTTAACGCTCTATCTGTGGCATGCAGTGAACAGTTCTCTCACACTTTCTATGCACACAGTTTGTTACATATTTTATAACTCTAGTATTTCACAATATCGTATTAAATATTATAAATCTTGAGTTAATTTTACCTTCGAAACATTTTCACAAGGCACAAAAATGCATTGAAATAGGTTTCAAGTGCTCTAACTATTTTTAATAATATAACAAACGAATTTATGCCAAATTATTTAAACTTTGAAAAGTGAAACGAGTAAATTTGTCTCTCAATTCACTTTAAAGTCAAACAAAAAATTCTCTAGCAAAAAGTGTGTGGAAATGCAACAGTTTTTAAAAGAGTTTATTGGCGCATTGCGAACTATTTTTGGCTGAGCAATTGTTTGCCAATGCATTTAACTGGCAGCAACCATTTGATAACAATTTGAACAATGGACAATTCTATCTCACTTTATTTTCACTCAATTTTCTCTCGCTCTATCTACGCACGTCGCCCAAACTAGAAAAGAAAAGCTGAAAAACAGAATCGAAAATAAGTGAGAAGTGTTTTTAACGAAGAGGGCTCAACCAGTCGATATACCCATTAAATTGTTAAATGAAGGAATCAAATAAACATCAGCTAATAGTTATCTCTTGAATGTCTTCTATTGTGCACCTAGCGCTAAGCCAATTCAAATGATTTATCTAAGCTGAAAGTGCGGCTGCTCTGTAAGTTATATAGGCAATATCATCTTATGTAGGATTTTCCTGTTTAATAGAGTATGCCCAGCTGTCAATTGCAGCTAAAAATCATTTTGCAGGGTATGTAAATAGCAAAAAATATGCCAATTGACGACAGCAGGGACTCGACTAGGCGAAGGCAAATGGCCCGAACAACTGCTAAAGCGTTACAATTGTTGACTTTTTGCGTAGTTAAACAAGTTTAATTAAGACTCATTGAAGGACTTCTTGCGAGTTACAAGAAAAAACCAGTTCGCTTCGCATTAGAATGGGGCAAAACTTTTGCTCAACACCTTACAAGGTGCGACAACAAGAACAACAAGAACAAGAACAAGAACAAATAGTCTTTATCCACTTCAAAGCTTTTATTTGTAGGTATACCCTAGCTAGAGAAAGTTCATTTGCAGTGAAGTAAATGGCATATTATAAAACGTTTGCCTGTTTCCCATTGCAAAACAATTGCCAATTTGGCTTAAAACATTTTGGTCGACAAGCAAGTTTGTCTGTCGACTTCCGTTTGGCAGCTTTGCTGCGGTTTTGTCGCTGTTGTCAGTTGATTTGTGTCTTTGTCACTTGCAGAAATAGCCACAGCAGCAGCAGCAGCAGCAGCAGCAGCAGCAGCAGCGACAATTTCAGCAGTTAATACTCGCATCTCGAGGCATTTGCCGTGGCACGCGGGCACAACTTTGTCCAGGGCCAGGATGTTGTCACTTGTCCTTGTGCGAAAACAAAATGAGTACAAAATGCTTAAAACGACTTCCGCTTCGACAATTTGCATGCTGCGCCGCGCACCGGAAATGGAAAAACACTTCTCGCTGCCGCTGCTGTGGCGCAACTGGCCGCACTTCCCACCTTCCCACCTTCCTGCCTTCCTGCCTTCCTGCCCCGCAACCCTCACGCTCTTACGCTTGCAATTAAGCGTGAACACATGCAGCTAAGCTAGAGAGAAAAAGTGGAGACCAGGTCAATATATATTGACTGGGCGTTTGTGTGTGCCTTATGTATATTTCATGTAAACTCAATTTGAGTTGCGTTTGACTCGCCCGCTGTGCGGGCCAAATAATGTTTAGCTGCCCGCCCACAGCCGCCTTTTGCCTTAATGGCCAATTAAGCGTAGACGACACAAGAAATAATTAAATCGCTGCATGCAATGCGCCCTTGCGGCATGCGGCTTGTGGCATGTAGCTGGCAGCAGGCAGCAGGCGGCAGGCGGCCTGTGGCATGTGGTATGTGGCAAGCACCATTCCATGTGGGCGTTAATAGCTAGCTGACTTGCAGGCGCCAGGCGCCAGCCGCACGCTGCGTATGCGTAATCCACACTCTCTCGAGTTAAATCATTTTTCAAGCGCCGCGCAAAAGTATGCAACAGTTTTTCCCTTCTAGCTGCCGCTGCAACAGCTATGCAAATTGAATGCGTGCAGCGTTTTTTTTATTAATGAGCCGCTGTTTCTCGAGCGAGTTTTGCCTCTTAAATATTTCAAGCGCAATTATGCAGCTGGCGCATTAAAAATCAAATAGAACATTCAAGATGACAGCTGCAATCAGGCAACAGCTTTCCTTCTTCATATTCTTTTCTGCTTTTTCGGGTGTTGGCCATCATAAAATTCAATTTGGCGCAAAGTGTTTAATGAAAGCGCCAAGTTGGCGACACCCGCAGACCCCGCAGCAAGCCGACACGCCCCCGCCACTGGCACAGCGGGCCAACTTGGCCATTAACAATTCACGCAGACGTTGCTACGCATGGCTAAGAACCAAACAACAACAGCAATAGAAAGCAACAAAGCAACAGCAAAAAACAGAGCAGAAGAAAACTTGTTTTACATAAAAACACACTTTAGACATCAAATTATGCAATGCAGAGCGCTGCCACCCAACGGCGCCGCTCACTATAACTACTGCAGCAAATGAGGGCTGGCTCTGCTGGGGGATGGGCGGATGGTAGCCTCACGCTTTTTTTTCCCCAGATCTGACAAAATGCAATGGCTGTAATAAAAATTAACAAGCTACGCTACGTTTGAGTTTTGAATTAATTGAAAGCGCGTATGCACAGGACATTCGAGTGGCTAAGGGGCGGGGGAGCGGGCAGGGGTTAAGGGTCGCCACACAGATTGCAGGAGCTCATTTGGATGCTGAATAGTGAAGAGAGAGCGAGCGGCAGACATGGGAGCTGGGAACCTGCTGCTTGCCTTATAAAATTATAAATTCGCGTCTAAATGAGCGTTGCAAAATTAATGAACTGCATGCAGTTTAATTGAAATGCGCATCAAGGGGAAATAAGGGTGGTCAAGGATACTGTGTGGGAAAATGCATAATGAAAATCAACTTTAAACTAAGCAAAGTGCATCAGTTGGCAAAATTGGCACAGCAGAAAAGAAAGCAGTTGAAAGGTTTTCATTTTCCAAATTTATATATTGATTATTTATTTTAATATTTCAATTCTAATTTTGGTTTTATTGTTTTTAATTTGGAGTTTAATTGGCAAATTATTTTAGCTCAATAAAAGATGTGCAAACTTATTCACAGTCCAGGAACTGCTTAACATAAACTATCAGCTAAATTTATATAAAGATTTTTTACTTAATTAATAAATATGCAAAATTTATTTGAAGTTAAATTCGGCGTTTTCAAATCTATCAAATATCACTCTTAGTTTGTCTATTATTTAAATACCCGATTCAGAGTGTCACACAAGAAAGCTGACTACGAAAGTGCTTATAAGCCAGATGATGCATGCTGAGTGCTTCCTCTTATGCTGTCGTATAACAGCAAAGTTAAAGTTGTCTCAACTTTCCTGTATGACATACCTTTGGGGGACTCTGTGAAGCGGGCTGCAACAGATGGACTGCAGCTAACTGGCTTATGAGAATCTCGGTGCTTCATGGGAGATGTAGCAATTGCTACAAACACAGAACTCATTGGGCAACAATAGCTCCAGCTCCAAACCAACATCGCATCTAATCTGTCTATCAACAACAGTCAAAGGCTGCAAAGTTAACATCCTGCACCTGCAGCTTTATATACTATAGAATGGAATCGATTTAGTAATAATTAAATCTAAATTTAAGATGTTTATATTGGCAGAACCGCGCACGATTTAAGGCTGCACTCAATAAACTGAATCAAAAAATCCTTCATGGCTGCCAGTTTGTAAGCAGCTAATTGTAGCACTTTATCAGATGTTCAAATAAATTATTTCGAGGTTTTCAGAGTCTAATTAAAATACTCCTCGCACTTTTTAGAACAAGTACAGCGTGAAAACTATGTTTACATTTTTGTTCTCTCTTCAATAATATGAAATATATATATAATATGATATTTGTGTTATTTGTGCTGTTTAGCACTTACCTCCATGTTAGATCCGTTTTATCCCACTTTGCGCCCTGCAGCACATAGCGACGCTTACGCGGGCCATGATCCAGATTATCCGGTGAGAAATTATACGCATGCTTATTGTCACCCACGCCGCAGCGGGGCAGTTGTATTAGCTTGGCCGTAGCCGAGTCGATTTTGCCCGTAACTGGAATGTTGCCAAATTCCTGTGGCACGGAGACGCAAATGTTAGTTTGTGAAATTGTGCATAATACATGTGGCATGCACCAGCAGCAGCAGCAGCAGCAGCTGCTGCAGTCTGCTGTTTGGCAACAACCTACCTGGAGTTTACTTATTGCGTCTATCAGCTGCTCCTCGGTGCGCAGAGCTCCCGTTTCCAGATCCGACTTGGGCAGATAATCAAACTGCATGAGGTAATTGTACTGCAAAGATGGAAACGTTGTGGTAAGTAAGAAGGCCAAAAGAGGAAGAAGACTGAATGCACAGACAGACTGACAGATGCATTAGGGAAGTGTGCCAAAACTGGGAAAAATGGTTGAGAGCCAAACTATTTGTTGGCTTAATGTAGGCGCGTCGGCAAATGATGCTGGCATAAAAAACTTTTTGCATAAAGTTAATGATAAAAGCAACAGTCACAGCAATACAGCAACACAGCCCACAACAACCTAAAACAACCAAAAACAACAACAGCAAAGTTTAACGTTACATTAATAAGCCAAAAAGTATGCCACACAAAAAAGAACGAAGCCCCAATAAAAAGTAGAAGATGGAGAGCTTAAGCTGCAGGACTGCTCGACTGCGGGCTTACTTACTTGCTTAATAGAAATAATTATAAATCGTTATAAAGCTGAGCGCAAAGCTTACTAAGTCAAAGTTTAAATATAGTAGAATTTTTATTGTGACATAAATAAAAGTCTTAGATTTCCTGCTCTTTGCACTGCAGCGATGCAATCGCTTGCAGGTTATATTGCAGCTAAATATTTGGGAAATATATGAACGAAATTTTAACTGCAACTAAGCTTTAAGATTAGTTAGTTTAGATCACATATAAGAAAACTTAGTTAACAAGCCTGAACACTTGAACTAACATGTGTTTGCTTTAGCCATCAAGCTTAGGCTAAAGTGAAGATTTATACTATTTTTGTTTGATTACTATTTAAGAAAACAATGAGAGCTGGGCGCTTCACAGCAAGAGGAATATTGAAAAATAATAGTCTAAATACTGTTGGAATATAAAAAGTATTTAAAAACAAAACAATTTAGAAGCAGTTTTCTTGCTAATTACTCTGGTAAGTAATTAAATCGACTAATAAATAATGACTCAAGCAACCACAGGCGACTTAAAAGACTTCATGTCCTAGATCTGCCCCACAGAATTAGATAAATATGTAAAGTAGGTAAATTGATCTTATTGGAACCCAAGCCATCCGGTTATGCAATATTATTTTTAAAAAATTGGTTTATTATCGAGTATAAGACAAATTGCAAATAAAAACAGAAAAATTAAAAGAAAAAATAAAAAAAAATAATTTGTGCATATAAGACCCTATCCAAACAACATACCCCATGCACTATGACATTCCAGGGTATCTGGAGGCAAGCGTATAGAATAGCTGCTATCAGCATCAGCTTCAGGCTTTGCTGTTTCAGTTTCAGGCCTCTGCGAGTCTGGTCACAATCGATGGGCATATATTGTGCCAGCTCTTCCTCTTCTCGCTTTTTTGTTGTTTTTATTTTTTGGGCCATGGCCCGCAACCAAATAAACAGTCATAACTGTAAAGTGGGCGACAGCGACGACAAAACAGAGCTTCGGCCATATGTGTAGACTGGATTTGCATATTTTTACATGAAATACACACACAGCGAGAGAGAAGATACACACAGTAAAGGCAACCAGGCAAATTTATTTACCCATACACACACCGAGACACACTCATGCGTGTGTGGGGGCGTGCCACATACGCTCGCACAAACACACACACACACACCAGCAACTTACGTGACCTGCAAATTAAATTTTCTCTTTCATTTCGGATATATGAGAAAATTGTCACACACACTCTCTGCCATGCCCCCTCTCTCCCCTCCCGCGTAATTTGTTGAAAACATGTGAAAAACAATATACAACAAACTAGCACACACAGAAAAGCAGACAACAACATTTGTCGTAGAATCAGCGCCAAAAGTCGATTCACAAAAAATGTTCATGCCGGAGAATCGTTAACACGTTAAGATTCCCTCGCTATAAGGCGATTAGTTGAATTTATTGTGGAATCAATTGATGAATGGTGCGTTGCCCCAACATCGTGTGATGCATATAAAACTAACTGAGATAACTCCAGAAGCCGTTGTGTCACGCAATCACCATCGGCTAAGGGCGAAGGGGAAAGTTCGAACTGGCTAAACTACTTTAAGCTACAGAACGTCGACAATTGGCAATGAAGAACTGCAACAAGTTGAAGAACTTGTTGGCGACATTCAACTAATTGCTTAATTACTAATTAACTGGCCAATATTTGTTGAAGAGTTTATAGCAATAAAATGCATATTGATTAGATAATAATTGATAAAGGTATTTGCATAGAGTTCATTTATTATTCGCATTTAATCGTCTTGAATTCCTGAAGAAGAATCGTCGAAGGCGCTTTACTATATATGCTCGAAGCATATTCAAATAATATATATATATATATATATATATAATGGCATAGCTTCAACTGAATACTTAATGCCAGATTCCTCGTGTTGCCTTTGCAATAAAATTAATTTGTATTTTTTTACTATTAAGTAAATGTTTTAGAAATATTTTTTAAGTTGAAAAACTTAAATAATTACATGCATAAATATTTTCAAAAATGTTTAGTTTCAACTTAAAATGATAATTGTATTCGGAAATGAAAACTGCCTTTCCGAAAGAACTCATAAAAACTTGGAAATACCATGAAAATCTTTTCTCCACATGTAGAAAACTATTTGGGAAACTTTGCTGAATAAGTAGGTATTTATAGACGTTCCAAGACGAGCCAAACATGTTACATACACATACATGATTTGATATATTTATGGACAGCGCAGATTAAAGATTCGCAGCGAGTGAGAATTGACATGAATAAGCTGTTCGTGGGAAGTGTCTAGCACATATGATTATATATTAGATTAAAGATTTGAGCAAGAGCATCTGAAGTCTTTTTAATCTAATTGGTTTCTTTTGTTCAGCTTGCCTCATGCCACACGCTGCTGCATGACTTACAGGTATTTTTATGTAACTTTGGAACGCTGGCAGCAGCTATGCAAGTGCAACAATAGCTCAAAAAAAACTTGACACCAGCTGTAGGCGAGGGAGAACTTTAAAAAATTCTATAAAAACAACAAGAAAAACTAGAAGCAAGCAGCAAGCAGCAGCAGCGAGGAAATGTCCATGCAACCAGTTGGTCACAAAGTGCGTCACAGTCACAAAAGTTGTCACGTTGTTGCAACGCGTCAGCGTCAGTCGGTTACGTTAACGTTATGTTGACTTTATGTTACGTAGCGCCGTCTCGCTCTCTCTGTTTGTGTGTGTGTGGATGAGTGCATGACGAGGGTAGTCGAAGAAAGCCCACACAAAAGCACATTGAAATTCATATAACGTATCGGGCCAGGGAGCCTACAACTACAGTTGAAGCCAATGGCCAACAACAACAACAACAATAGTAAAACAACATACATGAAAACAATATCAATTAAAATATGTACAAGTTTTATTAGCTAAGGAATTGGACAAAGTGGAGAAGCGAACAATTGGAGAATCGGACAGCCAACGAGCGGAAACTGTATGTCTGCAACGGCGACACTTGATTAATTTTTTATAAGCGCGAAAAAAAAAAACAATGAAAACTTGACCATCAAATTTTGACGTAGGCAACAGATTGAAGCCAAAGAAGAAATAATGCAGTGTCGAGAGAAATAAAGTCAGAAAGAGTTACTAAGGCAGATCTTGCATTGTGAATCAGAAGATTCAAGAAAACATCATTCACAATTAGCCCACAACTTTAAGGCCCAAGCTACAGCTAAATAGATCAATCGATCACAGCAATTTTACGTGCATTAGTCATATCTATAGAGACTTCTTTGGCTGACAAGCGGCCCTTCTTCAACAGTCAGCAGCGGCGGTAAAAGCAAATAAGCCTCAGAACTGTTAGTCAATTTTGTTAATCGAAGTCATTTGCCATAAATATTACTTAAACAAGGTGTGTCACGGATACCCGACCCAAGCCCAGCGAAAAGATACAGTCAGGCTGTTAAAGACAGTCACAGATACCGATAACGATACGGACGGACTTGGCAGGGGTCTGATGAGCAGCTGTGTTTTTATGACCGCTTGCTGAGACGCCGATAATAAACTACAATAGCCGATGAGTGAATGAATGAATGAATGCATGACTGGCTGAATGAATGAATGACTGAGTGTGTGAGTGACTAAGTGAATGAATTGCACGAGCCTCTCGCACTGGGCCCAACGGAAGCCGTGAACCCCTTCGGTCGGCGGGTGGTTCAGGGTCCAGGTGTATATGGGGTGGATCAATCATTTATGCATTGGCCTTTTGCGCTTTTAATGGGAAATGGGAAATTTGCTGGCGCTCTACGTGTTTGAAAATCGAAAAGAGGTGCGAGCGGGGAATAGTCACAGAGGGGGTCATGGGCATGGCAAGCCGTTGGCTTCAGTGCATGTCGTACGTGGTCAAGCGACGTTTCAGGCTAATAGAAAAGCGACAGAAACAAAAACAAAATAAATAAATAAAACAGGTGAGTACTAAAGAGAGAAAGAAAAAAACTAGAAAAAAAGTAGAATAATAATAATCATAGTAAAAAGTGCGACGCGCGGTACGTGCGCATTTGGCGTGTAAACAAAATCATGATACAGAAATAATAACAAGCACAGAAACCAATAAGCAAACGGGAATAGGAAAAGTTGACAACAAATGAAATGAACGACAAATGCATGCCCTGTACAAATTGAAATTTATCAAATTTTATTTCTGGAAATTAGACACAAATCCGATGACATATTGAGATGGATAGATGAATGTAGAGAGTGTATAAAGTGGGTCTTAGTCACTAATGAGTCAAAAACTTAGAATATTAGAGAGTAAGGGAAAGAAAACGAAGGTATGGGTAAATCTATGTCAGAAAAATTAAAAAGAAAAACAAATAAAAGTAACTAAAAATGCATAGATTAATAATAACTCAATAAAGAAAAAAATATATATGCATAATTATAATAAAGTATTATCCAAGACTGGCATGCTTCACTGTAGCAAATATTTTGATAAATATCTAATAGATATTGCCTAAATAGCAATATTCATTAATTGGCAGTAAACATCATTTAAATATTAAATAAGTCTAGAAGCGAATATACCCCACGCTAGATGCCGAACACAGA